TTTATTGTAAGGTTACATTAACAGAATCTTGCAAGTCTGAAAGAACATCTCTCCCCCCTCACCTTTACAGTCCAGGAAACTGGGGAGGATCCCTTCTGAGATGTTTGCCATATTCCTTCTGTGGGCTCAGCTGCCTCTTATCTGACCATTGCCTAGTCTGTGGCCCTTCCTCCTGTCTCCCAAGGTCATTCCTGTGTACCATTACATCATGTCTTCTCAAAAACTACCAGATGATTTCCTGCTTCTGTTTCTCAACTGTCAGCCAGCGTTCCAGGACCACCTATTCTTAATTTGCACTGTATTGTCTTTAGAAGTATCCTAGGAAAATGCAAAACCTAACATTCCAAGAGTAGAATGCTCTGTTCTTGGAAGGTTACATTTTGCCCATTCCTAAATTTATCTCTTATTATTTTGTTACCCTAAGGATTGCTGTGGTTCTGTAAGCTGTAAAGCTCCACAAAGACCATGGCTATTTTCTTCATATGTCTGCATGTGTGTGAAAAAAACATTCAACACTGTAATAATAGAATAGAATATATTGGCACTGCACTTCATAAAGCAATTGGCATAAGTGAAGCAGCCCATCTTGAAATGTTGAGGCCACCTTGACCTTGGGAAGGCTTAGTGCAGGAGCACTGATGGCTTCCCTGGTTGTCCCCATGTCCATGTGCATACTTAGTTGTTTCGCCAGCAGTGCAGTGGAAGCATCTGACTGCTTTCATACTTTCAAGGAGGAGCATTTCATTTGGGCCAACGTGCTTTGTGAAGAATGCCATTTCAATGCCTTGCAGAGTCAGTGTTCTATATGCATTTTTGATTGTATCTTCTCACGCCTGTACATTTTAGCAACCGTGTTTTATCCATGCATACACATTTCTTCATCTATCTGATCCCCAAGTGTATCTTCTCTCCTGTGAAAATAGGCCTCCATATCTTGCCTTTCTTCTCTCCCTGTGCTCAGGACCCAGTCTTGTTTTGGGGTTCTTTGAGAGTGAACCTCGATCCCTTGAATCAGTGTTCAGATGAGGATATCTGGACCGCTTTGGAACAGACCCAACTCAAGAGCTGTGTTTCAGATTTGCCAGGTCAGCTGGCCTACGAGTGCTCTGAAGGAGGTGGAGATCTGAGGTATTCAAACCACAAAATGTAGGAAGAAGCATCCTTCTGCTTGGATTTTTAGAGTTATGGGCTCATTAAGGTTTCTCATGCCCACCCCCTGCCTCGACTTGGATCTATTCTTTTTAGATGGATGGTAATTGGTGGGAGATTAGAACTGGAGGCCAATTATAGTTTAATTCCTAGCACTTATTCCTAACACTTTGGTTATACTCAAAGATAAGACCAGTAAAGGGCATTTAAAATAATAGCATCATTGATTTAACAGACTGTTTGGGGAAGAGGGTGCCCATCACTCTGTTTAAATTGCAAGTGTTGTCATTTGTGGTGATGTACGTCATTTGCATATTGACATCATTATGTAAATACCATAGATTATTGCAAATTGTATACAGTTAAAATTAATGTAAATGTAATTGCTTCATCCAGACGACTTCAGATGCAACAGATTTGTATAGTATTGTTAGAAGGCGGGGGAGGGGGAATGTCTGGATAGGAATCTGGTCTGGTACAACCAAAGTCTACTAAATTGGGCTTGGTTAAATCAGTCGGAGGCTACATTTGTGTTCCAAAGAATCATTTTCCAATCAAATCTGAAGCATTGCACAGCCCTGTTGGGCATATGGTTTCGTTTGGACCATGCGTGTTGTAGAAAGCCAGCCACTACAGTTTGTGAACTGTGGGTTGCTATTTTACTATAGTGTGCCAATCCAGTCAACTCCAACTTAATTCACATCTTTAGCAGTTAATTAATTGCTAAACATCTTTAACACCATACAGGAGTCATCCATACGTCATTCCTAGTAGAATGCCCATGTTCTTAGGATCAGTAGACATAGGCTGAGTTCCCCAGGAGTAACCTCATTGGGTTGGTTCAGGGAGGAGAGGGATGAGTAACCTGTAGTCCTCCAATTGTAACTGAGCAACAAACTCTTAGCAGTCCCATTTTATCATGGTTATTGTAGATCAACATCTGGAGGCCCCAAGTTGTTGCTCCACATTGTTCCAGATGCTCATACAACTGGAATCTCCTTCCTTTCCCCTCCTCTTTTATGCACTTCTGCAAGTGGTCTGAGGCCCTTCTCAAGATCCATGGAAATAGACAGAAGTATTGTGTCAAACAGATTCCTCCCCTGCCCCCTACTAGATAGGGAAGATCTGGGATTTTAATTGTCCCACCATCTTTCTTCCAGTGTCGGTCAGCGGCAGCTCATCTGTCTGGCCCGGGCCCTGCTTCGGAAAGCCAAAATCTTGATTCTGGATGAGGCCACCGCAGCTGTGGACCTTGAAACAGACCTGCAGATTCAGGCCACCCTAAGGAGTCAGTTCAAGGAATGCACAGTTCTGACCATCGCCCACCGGATAAATGCCATGATGGAATCTGACCGGTAAGAGGTGCCTTCGAAGAGGATTCCCAATAGAAATCATAAAATGGCCTGAAGAAACAGAGGGATATGTAGCGATATGATTGAAATCAGGAGTAGAAAAATAGAAGGAGGAGGAGTCACATTTGGAACATATACCTAGAAAATGAGAGTATACATTTGACAAAGTGCCAAAAATAAAGAGAAAGCTGCAGAATGACAAATAGGTTGTAGAAGGAGAAGAGAAGGAAAATTAGGTCACCCTCAACTCCAGTCAGAAGTCAACACCAATAGACATCTTCCACATTCTGTCACCTATTACTTAGTAGAAAAAATTGTTTGCTCCATTAACTCAGCTGGTAAATATCAATCTTTGGTTCTTCCTCTCCTGGAATTCTTTTCCATTCCAGCTTAGAAAAAAGTCATAATTTCTTTTTTTTTATATATAAATTTTATTAAAAGTTTTAAAGAGAACATAACAACTAACACGAACTAATACAGAAAGGAAAAAATAAGAAAAGTGCAGAAAGAAAAGATTAAAAAGATATAGAAAGAAGCTTCCACTTTTCTTTGTAGCAAATTATTATTATTATTATTATTATTATTATTATTATTATTATTATTATTATT